CATATCCCTTATACAAACCCTAACGACAATTCGTTGAAATACAAGTTAGCCTGATATGTCATTAAACAAACAAACGCGGGAGTTATATTTGATATGCCGATTTTCGCTAATTTTAGACACATCCCAAAATATGCTCCCGATTTTGAACATTAATATCTCGGTGAATTTTTAAGTAAAATACAACTGTAATATATCAAAATCTAAGTTAGTCCTTCCTATATGTAGTGCAAGTTATTTCTGTTTGATAGCTTTACTTGTTTAGAAGTTATTATAAATCAAACCGGAGTACTTTTTTTTGGGACACCCGGTATAGTTATGTAAATTTGTATTTAGCATTACTGTGTCTTATTTTTATTTTTTTGTAAGTTCTAAAGTGCTTTAATTTATGGTTTATAATACCATTGTAAAGCACACCAAATGCTATAATTTAATTGGTTTAGCATGATGAAGATGTAAGAGTTCTCAGACAAGAAATCTTAATGTCACGAACCACGGGAGCTGCGCATGCTCCACATGTGGAGCAGCAACCCTTACCTCGCCAGGAATCTGAACCGGATCACACTTGGAAGATAGCGAACTTTACCAGAAAGCTTGCTCAAGCAAATTCGAACAATGACTATGGTAGGATTGAAAGTGAACCTTTTTTCACAAGCCATGGTTACAAAATGAAGCTTGTTGTCAATTTTAATGAAGCCCCATCTGGTTACGCAGGCTACTGTACATACATGGGTGTTTATTTAGTTTTAATGAAAAGTGATCGAGATGGAGCCCTAACCTGGCCTTTCACAAAGCGTTGCACATTTGTTCTTGTTGATCAGCAAGATGACCTTAGTCGAAGACAAAACATTGAGGATGCAATAGTTCCAGAAGGAGAGAATGCATTCAAGAGAGCAAGGCAGCGCGAAAATAGTGATGGTTGTGGATTACCACAGTTTGTTAAACACTCCACCCTACGTACTCGTCAATACATTAGAGACCACGCTGTATACATCAAGATTGTGGTAGATCAATGAAAAATAACCATAATTATATTTGGTGTGAAGGCCTTCGTAGTGGTGTTCTATAATCGCGTGCTTCAAATAGTTGGCATTTTGAACGTTTTGGGGATTACAGTAATTGGCCAAAAGCTGTTGTGGTTCCCACTCCAATTTGTAATGTTATATATTTCATTTTTGTTATTCGTTATGCAATCTTAACGTTGTGACAAAGCTTGTAAAAATAATAATAAGGCGTAAAAAATACCTGTGGTTCCGGTTTCATATCGTGAAAATATTAGGGTCGGTAGGTCGGAAATAATTTTTTTTTTTAATATTTTTTCATGGTTTTGGCGGTTTTTTGCTGGGCGATTTGGGATATAGTTTCATGTCTCGCTGTTTTGTCAGGGCAGAATTATGGTCAGTATTCATAAACAGCAACACACATGGGAAGACACGTTGAGCAACCACCAGTGACGTCCAACTCGGTATGCGCAAGATAATGTGCAGACGGCAAAAATTGTCAAGTACGCCTTTGTCTTCGTACTTCGTTGAATACTTCGTTGTCTTTCTCAAACTCTCAATTCCAGCTCCGCGGCTACGGATGATGCAGTCTATATAACCGATTAAAACCTTGTCGTAAAAATCATGCCAGTCTTAATATGTCACTGGAGTGACTTAATATGTGAAAAAACACGTGTGGCATTATGTAATTGTTCATCCCAATTAGTATTCCTATATAAAGAATACTAATGCGACGCCATCTTTTGTAGTCATATTTTAAGCTATTCGAAACACTAGTTGTCGTGTCTGCGCCTCGCGTTTTATATCTGATAAAACACTCCTACTCGTGTTTTAAATAGTACATAATAAACAGTTATTAGTTACGGGAACCACTGAGTATTTTTATAAAATACAAAAGGACAGTAACTCCAAATAACATTTTGTAGCTTTAATGAATCTACGTTTCGACTATATTTTAGTCATCATTTTTTTGACATCAGGACATCAGGCTTTTGTGATATCAAGAGTTATCAAGGTTGAGGTAAGTGCATGTCACTTACCGAGACCTTCATCATTCGAGATATCACAAAAACCTCATCTAATAACTGTTTTATTTGTACGCTGCATTTTCATTAATAACTCTTTCGACAAACAATGATCACTGATCAAGTTTGTCGCACAAAATTAAACAACGTAAAAGGAGTAAAAATTATTTAAATATAATAACAGCATAAAAATTTAAAAATATTAGAAATCTCATTTACCTAATAAAGACTAATTAGAGATCCGATAAAATGTCTAAAAGGTCTGCTTTTTGAACAAAAAAAAATTCACAACAATGTTTTTTCCTTGCTTTTATTTATGTATTTAAAACTGTCGCTTGTTTTTAAATCACATACCGCGGGCTCAACCTACACATAACTCAGTTAACTATTTGGTATCGGTTAGGGAAGCCTCACATATCGATTTTTTCCACGAGAAACGTCATATGTTCGTTTGGGGGTGGGGGTGGGGGGTTTGCAGCTGTGACGTTTCTCAGTAAACATCATGGAAAAATTCGATAGTTTTTTCGAAAACCTTAACATTTCGGAATCATCTTTGCAGAATAAAAAAATTACATTCGTAATACCGTACCTGTTCTATATACGTATACATTTATATTATTACGCCTTCCTTGCATTGAAAACAGTCACTCAAATTTTAAGAAAAACGCGCTAAAGTTATCAATATTTCATGCAAAAAAAGTTGTTTTGAGAAACGTTGGAAATTTTGAAGTTCATATATATTAATGAAAAAAGATCTGTCAGCAGCAGATGACATATTCCTCGCGGAAGTATCACCAATAGCCGACCGTAGAAAATCAGTAGAAAATTACCTTATGTGTACTATATCTATAAGAACAAAATATCGATAACTATGTGTGACGTTTCTAAGGGGGGTGGGGGGGGGGTCTCCAGAGAAACGAATATATGACGTTTCTCGTGGACAAAATCGATATGTGAGGCTTCCCTAAACCAATATAAAACATAGATAATGATAATAATAATTATATTTATCCAGGATACCCACATCACCGTTCTCTCTCTCTCTCTCTCTCTCTCTCTCTCTTGTCCTGTATCCAAACTACAATTATTTACAGAATTAATTGTCAATATATCAACTGTATTAAAAGTATACAAATGTATACATGCACAACAATGATAAATTATTAATTAAGTCAGTAAGTATGAAACATGCCTTTCCAATGATTAGGAAAGGATCAATCGATTGAATTTGAATTTGAATTTTGATTCAGTAGTTATAGAAAGATAATATTGCTCAAAATTAATACGTAGAGGCACAGTGCACACCCACGAAGAACTAAACTGTACACATATATTCAAAATATATTAAGCAGCAAGAATAACTACGTACGAAGTGGATTTAATTGAGTCTTAAATTGCGCGAGAGAACTAATGGTTGTAGCGGAGCTGTCCAAACTGTTGAAGTCCTTTGAAGCGTAGTAAGTTGGTCTAAGTTTATCCCGTCTGCATTGAGTTCCCTACCTTTCTTATTCTATCGACTATGGCCTAGTTTTTACATACCAAGACTCCCACATTCAGGGTCGTACGCAGGATTTTTTCCACCAGGGGGGCAGTAAGGCCTATATGCCAAAAAAGTCCAAGGGTGGGTAGTAGCGAAGTAGTTGTAGTTCGCTACTGTAGCGAACTACAATTTTCAAGTAGCCAGTAGTTTTTGACTACTTTTGTAAAACAGTAGTTGTAGTTGTAGCGAACTACATTTTGCCTAAAAGTAGCCAAATAGTCGACTACTTTTCAAACAGTGAATCGCTATTCGCTACTTTTTAAAATTGTTAGCAACCGTCCATAGAATAGAATGATGATAAGACACGGTTTGCTTAAAAGATTATTTTATACAGTAAAGATTATTTTAGCGCAATGAAAAGTGGTACTCCTGAACACTGTAGTACTTATAAAAATGTTGCTTTGAGCCTTTTTGTTTACTGTTGCTACTCGTAAGTCGATTTGTTATAGGTTATATTACAGCCTGAGCTAGTGGATGCTTAAAATACCGTAAAACTAAAAAATATAGAGTAGCGAAATAGTTCGCTACATTTTTTAAGCAGTAGCTGTAGTCAGTAGCGAACTACTTTTGTTCAAAAGTAGCAGTAGTTGTAGCTGACTACATATTTTTGAAGTAGCTGTAGTTATAGCGAACTACAAAAATTTTGTAGTCAACCCACCCTTGAAAAAGTCCCGAATATCCAAAGAATAATTGATAATGACATTCTAAAAATCGTAAATATAGTTTTCTCTGGGGGTGGGCAGTTGCTCCCCTTGCCCCCCCCCCCCCTGCTGTGTACGGCCCTGCCCACATTACATATAAATACATACGTTTTAGGGGCATTAGAAGCCATGATTGCACTATTGTTTTTGACGAAAACAAATTACCTAATACCAATCACCAATCCTTCAAATCATAGTGGTGTGTATATTGGTATTCCGGCGGCGAGAAGGCTAAATTTTTCTCCATTTAGTAAATTTTGAGCACAAAGTTTAGTAATAACCGCTGGAAAAATATGGTCGCACTGCAGGGGCCGGTTGTATCAAAGGCGTTTAACTTAAACGGTGTTTAGCCGCTATCCAGCGTATAAATTTCTTATCCACCGGATAGTTAAACGGCCGATAAAATTGCGTTGTACGAAGCCCGTTTAGTACCGCGTTTAACTATCCGTAGGATAACCTTTAATTTAACCGGAGAAAACCGGATTTTCTTGAAATTTCCTACCTCTACGTCAGCTGTTGCTAGGCCATTGTAAACTTTTGAAGCTTTATCTAACTTGTGAATTCCACTAAGCTTTTGCAATAAAGTTTGTTGTTGTTTTTATTTGGAGTTTGCTCGTCCATTCGTTGCTGCAAATCTATATCAAACTTTTCATTTTCACATTGTGCTGAGTTTCTCATTCACTTAAATTCACTTACGGATATTTCTTTAAAGATTTTTGGCTTCTTTATGCGAAGAGTCGAAGGCAATAGCAAAAACTGTGAGTTGTATTTGGCTTTTGTCAGTTGATTCAGTTTTATACTGTTTGAAATTTGTTCCTCGACC